GTAGCGCCGCTTCTGTTTGACGGGCGCGGAGGCCGGATCGACGGTCAGCCGGTGAGTGATCACCTGACGGCTGATGCCGGGCATATCGTCCGGGGCCCACGCGAAGACAACGGCGTATGACCGTAGGACGAGGAGGATGGCGTCTCGCTGGTCCTGGGGGAGTTGCTTTCCGACCCTGAGAACCCGCTCCAGCCGGGAGGTATCCAGAGGGATTTCCTCGACCTCCTCAGCTGGCTCCGCATGTGGCCTCTCCTCGTCCATGGCGGCGGCGGCCGTGATGGTATCTATCCGCTGTCCCTCCCTTTCGGCCGGCCTCGTCAGCTTGAGGTAGCAAGCTCTGGCTATCCTCTGATTTCCTCTGGCGTAGCCGATGCCGTCGCTGGTGGGGAACTTCAAGCATAGGTGCTTCATGGAGATGATGGCCTCCAAGTCCTCCAGCGCTGGCCGGCCCAAGATCAAGTTATGGGCGCACTGGAGGTTGACCACCATGAACTCCATGTCAATTTTGGCATGGTGGGGGCCGTCACCGACTTCCACGGGGAGGACTATCGTGCCCTCGGCGTCGATAGAGTCCCCGGTGAAGCCGGATAACGGGGTCTTGATCGGCTTCAGCAGAGCTCTGTCCAGCTTCAGCTGCTTGAAGGTGTCTAGGTACATCACGTTGACGGAGCTCCCCGTATCGATGTAAGTGCGGTGGATGATGGAGTCACCGATCTCACATCGGATGACGAGGGCGTCCCTGTGTGACTCCGTACCCGGAGGCAGATCCTTGTTGGTGAAGGTGATCGCCTCCGTTCGCTGCTTCTTCGGCTGGGGGGGAACGTGGGACACCTCTCCAATGTAAAGGGATTGGGCCCATTTCTTCCTCTGAGTGGCGGAGTCCCCCCCAGTGTTCCCGCCCACGATGAGGTGGATGTGATTCTTCTTCGGCGGAGGCTCCTCGAAGTCCTCGTCGTCGCTGAGTCTACCAATCTCGCGCTTCTTCGCAGAGGGTTCGCCCCCACGTTTGCCGGTGTTTACCCAAGTGTTTTTACGTGGGCCACCTTTGACAAACTGGGAGAGTTCCCCCTGGCGAATAAGACGCTCGATGGCCTTCTTTAATGTGATGCAATCGTCGGTGTTGTGCGACGAGTTCTTGTGGAACCGGCAATACGTGCCGCCCTGTTGGATGGCCAGGACCTCCTCGGCCGGCCGAGGAGCCTGCTCGATGAGGCCGTGCTTTTCGGCATAATCGAGGATGGTGCCGACCGGGTGGGTGAGGGCTACCCCCGGCCGTTCCATCCTCGGCCGCCAGTGGCGGTCTTTCTTACTTTGTCCACCAGAGCTGTGGCGGCCCTGGGCACCCTGGCCGGCCGGGGACGGGCCCGAGGTCGGCGAAGGATTTGTCTTCTTGGGGGGATGGCCCCCCTCTCTCTTGTGATTGTGGAGCTCGTCGGCGTCGGCATACAAGCCTCCGCGTTGGAGCGCCTTGGCGTACGACCTAGGGGGGTCAGTGATGAGGCTCCTGGCGTACGGGGAGCTGCGGAGGGCTCCCTGGTACAAGGCGAGGAGGGTGCGCTCATCGGCCCCCTCGACCTCCTCGGTCTCCCTCGTCCACCGGTCGATGAATGACCGGAGGGACTCCTCGTGCTGCTGTTTGACGGAGAGGAGGTGGGTGAAATACTTCTTGGCGCGCTTCCTCCCGGAAAAGTGAGTGAGGAAGCGCTGGGCGAGATCTTGCCATGAGTCAATGCTTCCCTCTGGCAGCCCGTTGAACCACTCGTACGCTGGCCCCTCGAGAGTAGAGAGGAACCAACGGCAGAGGTATTCGTCGGACGCGTTCACCATCAGCATGTTGTTTTGATAACGGCTGAAGTGCTCCTGGGGGTCTGATCGGCCATCGTAGGACTTGATGGCATTTCCCCTGTACTTCTCAGGGATGGGGGCCGAGAGGACCCTGTTGGTGAAAGGGGTCCTAGTCCTGACCTGGATGATGGGGTCACCCCGCCCTTCGGCCAGCTCCCTCTCCAGGGCGCTGACTTTGTTCATGAGCGCGTTGAGGCCGGGGTCGTTGGAGGCGCCGGCCGTAGGGACGTTGGCCGACTGCTTGGCCTCCATCTGAGCCAACCTCCTTTCCAGCTGGGTGATGACCTCGTCCCGGGGGTCCCTGTCGGCCGCGACGGCGCCCGGCTGGTTCCTCCGGCGCTCGTTGTGAGCCGCGTTGATCTGGTGACGCACGTCATCCTCGTGCAACTTCCCCTTACCCTTGTCCGGGCGGGGCTGGTCCGCTGTCCGGGACACAGACCCCAAACTCTCCCTTGGCGAGCCAGGACGAGGATCACCAATCCGTCCCGCCATCCTCTCCGAAACCGGACGACGGCGCGTGTCACCTAGCCTATTGAAGGCAGAGGCTTTTCCACGCGCTGGGGTCTGCCCGGGCCGAAGAGGGGAAGCAGGGTGTGAGTGGGACGACGCCGTGTCCTGGGCCACAACCCCTTCATTGTTGCCTATCTGGTCGGCCAGGGGTTGGGGATGAGGAGGTGGAGTGACGTTTCCCCCGGTCCTTGGCAAGAGTGCGCTGAGGACGGTGGGATTCTGAGCCAAGCTGGCGATGATAGCCGATAGTGCGGCCTGGACCTGAGGATCTACGGACGGAGAGGCCGCGGCCATAGGCTGGGGCGAGGCGTGGTCCGCTTTCTCAGCTCGTTTCTTTTCCAGGCCGAGGCGGGCGTCGGGGACTCCGCCGTTGAGTTGGTTGCGGAGGTCCGTCGTGAGGTTGAAGGCTTCCTGGAAGAGGTCCCCTCCGCCGGCCTGGTCGGCCGTGGCGTCCTCATCGTGCTCCCTGGGCTCTTGGTCCTCAGGGATGGCTTTGCTGATGAGGTTGCGGTTTGACTTAGTTCTCCCCATGATCAGTGGTTAGCTGTGCTTGGTAGCGACGAAGGGTGCTAACTTGATTGTTCTAGCTCTCAACGAGAGCACCAAATGATAGAGTATCTCTCTTAGATTCTAGAGAGAAGTGAGAGCTAGAGAGAGAAGTGCAATAATATGCTTCAATAGAATGAATTTGTCACCCCTACAACTACTCCCAAGGGGAGTATTTATAGAGAAAATTAGGGTTGGGCTCCCAAGCCTTGGGCTTGGGAGGCCCATTTACAACTGGACCGCTACTGGGCCGAATACAGAGCCACTAATGGGCTGTACAAGTGAGTAAGTGTAGGATCCGATTCTGGGAGGTCCTCGTGGCCGACGAGGTCGTGGCCGACGAGGGCACGGCCGACGAGGGCACGGCCGACGGGGGCACCCGGGTTCCTTGGACTCGGGATCATAATCCGGGTTGGCTTCCTCTCGGCCGACGAGGGCGTTTGGCCGACGAGGGCGCCACTCTGTCTTGTGCTCTGTTCTTCCGAGTATGTGGGTCCTGGGGCTCAGACCCATATACTCCATCAGTAATATTATTTATTTTACAAATGAAATTTTAGAATATAAAACGAATCCTAACAAAACTTAGAATATTTTAAATTATGTAATTCTTCAAACAAATTTGTATTTGTAAGAAAACATACAATCATGGTGTGGGAATAACTTTTTATACAAAGTTCAAGGCATGTATATTACATATGCAAGTTTGGAGTGCTTACTTCACACCCTATTAAATTTTGGGATATTTAAATTATTTTCCACTAATAATAATAAAATAGCAATAGCAATAGCAATAGCAATAACAATAGCAATAGCAATAGCAATAGCTATAGAAATAGCAATAGCAATAGCAATAGCAATAACAAGAGCAAGAGCAAGAGCAAGAGCAATAGCAATACAATACCAGTAGCACCACCACCACCACCAACAACAACAATAACAATATCAATAACAATAACAATAACAATAACAATAACAATAACAATAACAATAACAATAACAATAACAATAACAATAACAATAACAATAACAATAACCATAACCATAACCATAACAATAAGAATAATGATAAGAATAACCATAACAAGCAATAAGAATAATAATAAGAGTAATAATAATAATAACCATAACAAGAAGAATAATAATAAGAGTAATAACAACAACAACAACAACAAGGGCTAGTTGGACAGCCATGTATGCGAGAAACCGGGTTACCGGCTTGTTACTTGCTAAATAGCATATTTGGTTAATTTTTAACACTTTATGGACTTAATTGACTCATTTTGAAGTACAATGTCTCAATTGACTTTTTCGTAAAAGTATGATGACTTATTTGACAGCTTTCCCAAAATAAAATGATGTAATTTTATGAGATTTAGTAGGTGAGGTTGGTTTCTTTGACTTCGTGTACATCGTGACCAGATTCATACCTCCAACTTTTAATTTCGTAAATTATTTTACCATCTGATTCTGAATGAGTCCCATTTTATTGGAAAGAATGTACGCACTCTACTCCAAAAAACTTCATAGTTATCATTTGTGCAGTCAAGAGTCAACTTAATTAACTTCCTTTTATCTCAAATTTATGGATTGAACTTCTGTCATATTCAAATCCAGTTTTTGTGATTGAATAGAAATTTCAGTATAGTTTTTGAACATGTAAATGGTAATTAACTAATTACTAACGGTCTAACATTAATTTATGTATTTTAGGGGAGAACTAACTTTAACTTCAGTCTAACATAGTACTGTATATCGTAAACTAAAGTCAAATATGGGATGGAAGTATAATTTGAAATTGTATGTCGTTTTCCACCTTTCCCCTTATTTTTCATGAGTTATGCTAGAAGTACAAAAACTTTTACAAAAAGTCTTACAAAAGGAGTACGTGACATCATCACATTATTTAACTCATCACATTTACAATACTTTTACATCAATGGTAATTAGAATAACCACATCATTTGTTTGTAAATTTTTTTGTAAGTGTATTCTAGCCTTTTCATTTCTACGGTAAATTACTCCTTTTAATGAGAGGTAATATTGTCTAGTTTTCCTTCATATAGGGACTATTTAATCTCCATGATTTCTTCCAAAACCACACTTGTTGTTAACCGTGGCGGTACTTAGTTTTCTTTTGCACCAAATGCAACATTGCGATGATTGACTTTCTGATTCGAATTTCCTCTTGTGGCGCAACTTACAGATGTTCTTTTCTTAGATTCTTGGAAAGGTTGGTAAGCTCTTCCAAGGACAAGTTCTTGAGAGTATGGGACCTTGATACTCAGCACTGCGTGCAGATCATTAATGGGCATCATACTGAAATTTGGTCCGTAGATGCCGACCCTGAAGAGAAATATCTGGTTACTGGATCTGCAGATCCAGAGCTTCTGTTTTACCCAATTAAGCATGATTTGTCTGATGATAAACCTATAACTAACACAAATGAAGGAGTAGACATTGCTGCTACCACTCAAAGCAAATGAGAATTCCTGAGGCCATTTGGCGAAATTCAAAGAAAGAGCAAGGATAGGGTTGCTACTGTGAGGTTCAACCAAACAAGAAACATACTGGCTTGTCAACATGCTGGGATGAGTCTGAATCCAAACGTAAAGCGAAAACAAGAATTAGTAGGGAGAAGAAAACATTGAAAGAAAATGGAGACTCAAATAATGTTGGAATCAATGGAGAAGGCAAGAACCTTGTTATTATTACTGCGTTTGAAGTTTTTAAGCTTTTACTTACACTGCGGGCTGGAAAGAAGATATGCTCAATTGCTTTTAGTCCGGTTGCATCGAAGGACACACTGGCTACTTTGGCATTGTCTTTGAATAATAATAATTCATTACAATTTTATGCAATTGATGAAAGTGGGGCAGCCAACAAAGGCAGTAGTATTGATCTCCAAGGGCATCGGTCTGATGTGAGAAGTGTTACTCTTAGTTCAGACAACACACTTCTAATGTCGACAAGTCATAGTCTGATTTAGATATGGAACCCTAGCACTAGATCTTGCCTCCAGACAATAGCATCGGGATATGGGTTGTGTGGCATGTTTATTCCTGGAAACAAATATGCAGTTGTTGGAGCAAAAGGAGGAACTTTAGAGATCCTTGATGTTAGGAGTGTTACTTGCATTAATGTGGTGGAAGTTCATGGTGGATCGGTTCACTCCATTGCTGCAACTCCAGATGGAACTGGTGGTTTTATTACTGGGAGTGCTGATAATGACATCTTTCAGCATCAAGTCCTGGGAGTTAAAGTTAAACCAAAAGTCTGGCCAGGTGTGTAAATCTTCCATCTTTTGTTGTATTGATTATAGACTCACACACGATCCATCATCATTACACCAATGCCGCAAAGGCTCCCACCTATAATCGGGTAAGGGGGTCAGATGTACGCAACCTTACCCCTTTATTAAAGCACCGAGAGACTTTTTTTCGGGACCCATAGTAAAAATCACGCCGAAAATTGTATGGACCGGTTGGTGCTTCATAACAAAGAAACGCAGACAGTTTAGTAAGCCATTTTGTTTTATTTCATCGTATTTCCAAGACAAAAATAAGTCTTTGGCTTTATTGCAAATGATGGAAAGAGACACGATCCAAAAGAAAGAATATCTAATAAACATAGTATGTAATGAGTTTTGGTCCTTAAAAAACTGGAGGCCAAGCATATAACTGCATCTCATGTGAGGAGTAAGAAAATGGATGATGATGTCATTGCTGTTGTTGTCATCCCTGATAGTAAATACATTGCAGCTGCACTTTTGGATAGCACAATCAAGGTGAGCTTCAGTTTCAATTATTAATTTTTTCATAAAAGAAACACGATTACACAACGTATTATTCAAATTGGATCTTTTTCCTACAGTTTAAATTTGGGAAATTATTTTCCTATTTTTATTCAATTGTTGAGCCGAACGAACGTTATATTTGTCACTCTTAACAGTTCGACTCTTCAACTACTACCTTATGTCATTATATGTGGTGGATTGAAACATTTTCAGGTATTTTTCATGGATTCTCTCAATCTTTTCCTGTCATTGAATGGCCACAAACTGCCTGTTCTATATATGGATGTTTCATCAGATGGAGATATGCTTGTTAGTGGCTCTGCTGACAAAAATTTGAAGATTTGGGGACAAGTGAAAAAGATAAAAAGGAAAAGGCGAGCAAAGGAAATGAAAAGGATCAAAATCTCCATTTAGCAGTGTGAAACTCTGTTTGAAACATTATGGAGGTGCCAGGTTGAGTAGCAAAGCTGTGACACTAGCTCCATGTGGAAAGCTAGGAACGAGCATATCTTTGCACAAAATGCAGCCATTGTCCAAGGAGTATTTTTGCAGATTCACAAATGGCTTATAGGGTACTATTTAGACTTTATCCTATAACTATGATTAATTTTTGAACTCTAGGAGATTTATGGCTTTGAAACCTTGAAGACTGATTTCCAATACCCTGATATATCTAGAATTCTCTTGGCAAAGGTTGTCTCCATAAGATGATGTACAATTACACTTTTGCTGTTAATATGTTTTTACCATTCATAAAAAAATTGCTTTCGTAGACTTAAAAAAAATAAAATATATGGGAACATGAACCCATTTAGTTGGGTGATTATTCCACAGGAATTAGAAGTAGTTTGGACCAGTAGTGGTGTGGAACTGGAAATGTGCAACTAGTTCCTGAGCAGGAAGCACTCTTTTCATCACAGAAAGTATCAGATACAAAGATCAAGATAATGGACAAGTCATCATACATACAAGAAGCTAATATCGAAGGCGTTTGTGCACTTGCCTAGGTGGAGTAACAGATCTGCAGATGCCTTTTTGTTTTCTCAGAGCAATGATGCCATATATATGGATACCGACGTAGATCTCTAGTTTCAAATGCGTTTAAAAACTAATAATAAAAACGATGGCTTTAATATGACTATATGCACGGACATATTTATTTACTCATGAAGATGATAGGCAAGGTTACAGAAGAAGTATCTTGTAGCAAGACTTTATCCATGCCCGACTACAGAAGAGCTTAACTTTTCACAATATATGGTCATTATTCCTGGCTCCTGCCCACCATCATGTAGTAGGTAAGTAGGTGGAGAAAGGCTTAATTTCTATTCTATTATAATCTGTAGATTCAGGACATGTATAATATAAACATCCCAATTGCATATTTGCATGCAAGTGGGTGTGGTGTGCTATTGATGCTCCCTATCTTCTTATAATCAAGCCGAATCATAATCTGTGGTTGAATCTGCAGCAGCTTCCTTGAGTGAGTTCAAATGATTCATGGACAGCTCTCGCCGATACTGCTGAACCACAAGAACTGATGCTGTTGTTGGGTAGTCTGGAAAGGTCAACAAATTCCCCACAGGTCCTAATTCTGGGCATTCCCCACCCTTCATCGATGACACTATTTGCCCCTCCGGCATTCGTCCAACCACAAATAGGTTGCACCCACGATTCAACTCTCGAACCGCTTCCGTTACCCCCCCTCCACTCCTAACCACCACCTCTTCATATTTCACGGAGGAATTTTTCAGGATTCTCTGCTTGAAGTCGTTAAAGTAGGCTTCATCATCATCTTCTGTTTTGTCCGGCACATTGGACCCCATGTGTACTGTCACGCTCTTTCCCACAACCTCTGGGTCAATGACAAAACGGGTGACTCGCAAGCTGATCCCAGGGTGCTCAGCCATTCTCTCCCCATATGCAAGAGCTTCACGGTCGTCGTGGCCTCCAAAGTAGAGGACGGTGATCGAGTAGTCCACATTGCTAGCTGACACATGTGATGTCCCGCCGAGTCCTCGGTCGACCAGGATGCCAACAGAGCACGGAGCGTACTGGAGGACCCGCCGGTTCACGTGGCGGAACTCGGTTCGGGTTGTCTCGAGATGCCCGTCGTATCTTTGGTGTTTGTGGAAAGGGAGAATGATCATGGTCACCCTCTCCTGATTGGCACAGCTCGTGATGTCCTCATGCATGCTGGAGAGCGCAGAGATGGCCGTTGTCGGGCGGATTGAAACCTTGCTGAGCTGCCCAAACGTCTCAAAAGCAACGATTAGTTGGTCAGCCGAGTGATGGATGGGGCTGCTCGCTGTTTCCTTGTTCCAGAAGGGGAGCCCGTTCTTCCTTGCTTTGTGGCACATAAGGATAGCAGAAGGCCTCTCTGAGAGTTCCACCAGGTGCATCGCGTATACCCGGATTTCTCTCTTCTCGGTCCCACGAGAAGCCTCGATGAGATTAATCAGTGAGGATATGTTCTCTTTGCCATGGAAGCATGCCAAGATTCTTAATCTCTTTTTGTTGCTCGGGTCCTTTGTTTGTATGGTTCTGTGTTTGTATTCTGTCACAGCCATTTTTGCCGGTTTGTATGTCGCAATAACCAACGGTGTTGTGATGAAGGTAGTAAAGAGAGCCATCAACACCATAATGGCAAATGTTTGATCGTTTAGAACCTGCAAAATTAAAGTTAACAGTAACGCTCACAATGAGTGAATCTGAGAAAGTACTGATTTAAAGTTTTCCAAAAAGTCAAGTCTTTTGTCAAAAAAAGGGAAAAATGGCAAAATTTCCTAAAGTTGTTGTTTCAGCCAAAAATAATAATCATTGCCATTACCTATTTCATTATCAATCAATTGAGTGCAAGTAATAACAATACTTAGAGAGAATAAGTAGACTTTGGCAGTTGGCTAACTTATATTTGGCTAAAATGATTTTTTTCAGGAGAAATAGGCGTTTTCAGCCTTATTGGCTAAATAACACCCAAAAGACTCAGTCCTATTTAGTAATCGGCTGTTAGCTAACTCAAAAAGTCATTTACCAAACGTTTCATTGAGCTGGTCAACTCGGAAAAAACTGGTCAAACCAGAAAATAATTGGCTGATAAGCCATTTACCAAACAAGGCCTTAGTGTTTTTATGATAAAATGTACATAGTATCTTAGAAAAGCCAAAATGATTGTCTACAAAATTAAAAAGAGGCTCAAAGAGGAAGCATACCCCTCTATCTTTTCCAATGTTAAGAACAATGAGCTCCACTAAACCTTTAGTGTTCATCAAGAAACCGAGACTGACAGCCTCAGTGAAAGGAACCTTGCACAACAGTGAGGCCAAAATCGTACCAAAAATCTTTCCAAAGCATGCTGTTACAATGACCAAAGCCAGAAGACCCCATGACTGAGCACCTTGGATGGTGGCGACATTCGTCTTCAATCCACTCGAAACGAAGTACAATGGGAGGAACAGCCCGGACACCACATCTTCAACTTTTTCAACCAAGGCACCTGCAAGCGGCCCTTCTTTGGGAACCAGAACCCCAAGCACGAAAGCTCCAAACAAGGCATGAATTCCAATAGTGTCAGTAACAAATCCGGCTGCTAGCACAGCTGCCAGCGTGGCACACACATGTAACTCCTTGACTTGCTCCCCTTCAGAGACGCCACGGGCCATCCATCTGAATATAGGAGGGGCGACCAATATGCAGAAGAGCACAAATCCGCTCCCACACAATAACACCCATAGCGAGGTTAGTGGGGAATTGTTGCCTGAACTGGAAAGGGCAATGGCAAGGGCAAGTAGGATCCAAGCTGCCACGTCATTAACTGCGGCCGCTGACATGGCCATTTGCCCAACATCTGTGGTTAAGAGCTTGAGTTCGGCCAGGATACGTGCCAAAACCGGGAAAGCTGTGATTGAAAGGGCCACTCCCATGAAGACCAGAAACGGACCCTGCTTCACTCCTTGAGCCACTGTTGATCTGAGCACAAACGACGTCCCCACCCCTAACAAGAAAGGAAGACTGATCCCAGCAAGGGCAATGCTCAACGCTTTCTTTCCTGTTCGGCGGAGAGACTTGGGATCAAGCTCAAGACCAACAAGGAACAGAAAGAAGAGAAGGCCAAGATTGGCCAGGGTATCCAACACTGTTAGGCTTCTAGGGGGGAATATGGAATTCAGATAGTGTTTGTTCCTGCCTAAAGCAGATGGACCAAGCAGAACCCCTCCCTAGCCAACAAAAAGAAAAAGAAAAAATGTCATTACTAAAGAAGGAGCAGATAAATGATAGTTATCAATCAAGACTTGTGTTTTTTAAGATGATCTTCCAACATCATAGTGTCTTGTTGGAACATACCTATCTTGAAGTTAACTACTTTTACCAGTATAACACACAACACAGAAGCATATGTAAGATCCTGAACATCCTGCCCTATCATGTTACACTTATAGTATAAAAATACCAAGTTATGGCATCATAATCAATTAATCTCCAAATAATTTTTGAACCCACCTCCTATAACTATTAACAATTACCAATATCTAATTGAGACTTGAAATTTCATCGTAAAAAGGCATTATTTTTGAGTTCTTTAATCCTTATTCGTGATTCATATGGTTGTATTTGGGTTCATGGCATTACATAAATGAGGTTTCAGAGATAGATATTTGCAGGGGAATGAATAACTTACAATGATCTCAGCAATGACGCGGGGCTGCCTGAGGGGGCGAAGAAGATAGGCGAGTGTTCGAGTGAGGGCGACGACCAAGCATATCTGCACAATAAGCAGAGGAAGGGCGTAATCCAGAGGATTGTCTCCTTGGAATGACCCATTGGATGTAGCTTTCATTGGAGACGGACATGTCTTTGTACCGTTTGTCGCCATATCTTTTTTTCGACCTGACCCACGTTTTTTACCACCTGAAATCGACGGATTCTTTTAGTTATCTTCTCCTATACAGATAGCTTCATGATATTACAACGTTTAGGGCAGATGTGGATTCTTATTAAACACATTTAAAACTGTATGGAATTGAGGAATATTTATAAGCATCCCATAATTGGATAGATTCGATCATGAACTGACACCGACCTCTACTCTGAATTATCGTGTATTGCATCCACTAAGAGTTAATTATCAAAATAGGACCGAAAGTCATTCACTTTTCACAAACAGGACCAAAAAATAAACTATGTTTACATATGACTAATTATGTGTACCTTGTACAATTATACCCTTATAACTATTAAAATGTTTTAATTCCTAATAAAATAATAAAAAATAATAAAAATTCGTAAAAAATACTAAAAAATTAAGAAAAACATTTCGATATTAAAAATTTAATTAATTTTTTTTTCAAATAATTAAAAAAATTAAAAAAAATTAAAAAAAATAAAAACTCAAAAAAAAAAAATCACCGCCGCCTCAGCACCACCACCTCCAGTCACCAGGGGGAAAAAATGCCAAGTTCATTACGAATGCCATATTTATGGCAGAAAAAAATGAAAATGTTGTCATTCGAAAAGAGAAATATGCCATTTTTTTGCAATTTCAGAAAAAAATGATATTTATCTGGGAAAATGGCATTTTTTCATCGGCCAAAGGTGGTGGTGCTGGGAGGTAGTACATGCGGTGGGAAAGGTATCCATATTTTTTTAATTTTTTTTACGAAGTTTTACTATTTTTTATTAATTTTTTTTAAAAATAAAATTATTTAAAAAAAAAGTTTTTGAATTTTTTATTTTATAAAAATTTTATAAATTTTTTAATTATATTTCTACGATTTTTTGAATTTTTTTCGAATTTATTATGAATTAAACATTTAATTATGTCTTTTGACTATTTTTAATTCATATTTAATGGAAGGGTAAGAATGGAATGCAAAAATAGGTATGTTTCCAATAGGACTCATATGGTCCTATTTTGGAATAAAAACATAGCCAGTCCTATTTTAGGTTTTTGCCATAGTTTTAGTCCTATTTGAACTAATTTCTAATTGACTAATGGTTACTGTATTTTTTATTTATTTACTGAATAAATCGTACTGTAACTCTTAAAATTTTGCCAAATTTGACCAATACAAAGAATAGTAAAATAAAAATTAGTTTCACGTGACAAAGTTTACTAAAAAGAAAAGTGGTAAAGTATTTGGGACGTTCTAAAAAGAAAAGATGATAAAGTTTTAAAGAACGAAGGAGTATATGATTAGAATCTAATTCCTTCTCAGACTATGAAGGTTCCCAGGGACAATTACCCTAAATAAGACTAGGCGAGTTTGTGTTTTCTAAAATAGGAATAATCATGCAATGTTTTTGTATTATTAGATTTTAAATATGATACTATCTCCCGCTATGATCGTCCCGTTTTACCTTATCGGTCCATCCTACTAAGATTGTCTCATACCAAATTTGGCAAAGTTTGTGTGACTCTAAATCATTCTTACTTTATCAATTCAATATCAACCATACAAACCACTTTTTATTGATTTGTGTGTCACTCCCTCTTATCCCATTATTATCGAGACGGATGGAGTAGTATTTTTCAAGCTTACAATAATTACTCCTATTTTGATAATAAAAATCGTTACAATCATATTAGAGAAAACTTTTCATGGGTGGAGAACTTAAGTACCAAATATGTATTGACACCTACTTACTTTATGTTATTATTTGTTCTTATTAATACTATTTTTATTGATAGATTTAATAATATTATTAAATGTTTAATCATTAAAAAGTTACTAAAGTTATTATTCTTCAAATGGACTTTTGTTGATATATTTGTCTTATACGCTGTTAAAGTCAAATTAAAGAACTCTCTACTAACTAACACGCATACAACCAACCATTCCAGCTCACTGGATGAGAGGTTACCGTGTCCTAGCGGAGGTCTCGAGTTCAAATCCCGCTAAGCACATTTAGGGGAGATGAGGGAGGTCTTGCTCCCAATGATTCTTCCTACCTTCCCGGAGTTGCACATCGGCTTAGAAGGTAGCGGATGGAAATTCAGCTCGCGGGTTCGCGTGGTGGGAGAACCCTTCTGGATATAAATGAAAGGAAGCCCTGCATAGTAGGAGGACCCTTCTGGATTCAGTTGAAAGGAAGTTCTGTTGGATTCGTCCTGTGGTACAAGTACCGACGAAGGTTGACTGTGATAATATGCGGATTTGACTGTCTAGAGGCTTTGGAGGGTAGTCAATAAACTCCAGGATTAGAGGAGCGCAAGCACTGACACCTGGACTATAAAAAAAAACTAACACGCATAGTGATGTCATTTCATATCATGATGTCCGGGAAGGAACGGCGTACATAAGTCACCGTTTCATGTGGTTACAAATGAATTTTTTGATGAATTTTGTGAGAATGTTCTTGATAAAGGGTAGATTATTTCCATAAAATTTCAACTTTAAAAATCAATTGAAAAATCAGTTATAAATAACGCATTGTTTCAATAATTTATTAACTGACTTCCCGATTGAATTTTAAGTTGAAATTTTGTGAACATAACTTACACTTAATGAAGAACACTCTCATAATAATTTACCAAAAAATTCCACAAGGAACCACCTTATAGGGTAGCCTCTGCACGGCGGTTCTAATAAGGAACTCCCGATAAGAATGAGACTCATGATATCACATCAACTAATTGAGAGCTCATTTAGTAATGCTGATATTGTCTGAATTGACTGATTCTGCTGAAATTTATGGAGTTATGGCTGAAGTGACTGGATAGATTGATTCTGCCGATTTACTAAAATGATATTTAAAATATTTTTATGAATAAAATAAAGAAAAATTATAAGATAAAATAGCTTGGTCCAAAAGGTTGAATGCCCAACCCCAAGGCCCCCCACCCCGACTCGACAGGATGGTGGAGAGGTTAATCACGGTGACTCAGTCAGCAAAGCAGCGGTAGGCCTTATACACGTACGCACCAGAGGTCCAACCTTATTTCATGTTCTGTAACCTCCACACGACTGCTGCGGATTTCGAACCTTGGTCACTTGGTCCAATTTTTCCACCACTCGTCCAACTGAGCTACCCGTGCGGGTTATATGATAAAATAGCTAATATGATTATCTATAGTAATTTCACCCAACAAGCTAGAAAAGTCAATTCAATCTTACTTTTTCTTATTATTATACTATTCGTCACACGAAATTAAAAGTTATTTATTTGATGAAAAATTTTATTGATAAGCCAAAAACAAATTAAAAAAATTAGTTTAACTGATTATCCAGCGTAGCAAATAGTGGCAATGAGAATTGGAACCCGTTTAACTAATAAGCATTAGACTTTGTATAGATTGAGTTTATCAATCATTACTTACACGTCACTGTCAAATATGAAATCAGAAAAGACTTAATAAAAGTAATTCCGGCAAATATCTTTTGACGTGATACTAGTAGATGATGTGACTATAATTATGGAAAATATTTTCATTTCGGTTCTGTTTTTGCTACTTCGTTCTACTCTCTCCGGTCCTAAATAAACTTCATACTTACCTTTTTGGGTAGGTCTAAAATAAACTTCACACTTCTTCTCTCTTCCTTATTTGGCAAATTATCTACATCAAAACAGTGCAAAGCAGTGCAAAACAGTATCAAACAGTGCCAAACAGTGTCACAACAGTGTACTCTACGGTAAAGTCAAATTTATTTCCTTAATTTGTGTGAAGTCAAAGTGTGAAGTTTATTTAGGACCGAAGGGAGTGTTTTTTTTAATAATCTAGGGGATTTATGTCGAGAAGTTTATGAACTATCCTTCAAAGTCAATCTCCTTGATAGTGGCTCCAAAAGACCTTTCCCAGTTGTTCTTCCTATCACAAGAATTCCTTTCTTAGGCGCTAAACTAATCTGTGAGAGTAGGAAGAATAATGAGAAACAAGATTTCCCTCATATTTCCTAGATGAGAATTGATTCGAAACATATCAGAAAGGAGAAATCTGGGAGTGGATGGTTATCCATCGGACTACATCCACCCTCCCTTGTTACTTTGTTCTAATGTTGTTAAATCTTGTTAAAACTCATCTAATGTTTAAGGAATGAGTTTTAAGGAACTTTAAAACTCATTTAAAGTTCATGGATTTCAATATTTTAATAATTCATCCCTTCTTTTTAGGTTCTAATATTTTGATTTTCACATTTACCAACACATACTTGCATATTACTCGGAATTGAATCAGTCCTTACATGTTTAAGTCCGATTCGTTTCAAATTTGATTTGTATTCAAATCCGATTTGAATCAAAACAAGTCAAACTCAAGCTACATACAAATTCAACTCGGAAAGCTCGCAAGCTTCTCGAGTATGATTTAATATTGTTTTTTCAATTATACATATGACACTACATCATATATTAATACTATGAATTCATACAAAAGATTTGCCTGGTCAATCGGATTTTACCGTTTTTTAGCAATTTCCATGATTTGATTAACCGAACCAGGTTTTGATCTCGATCGAGGGGGCTTGGTGGTTGATTTGAGGGAGCTTGATTTCTACGCCTCAATAGTTTTTGAAACAATCCTATACTTTGTGTGTAAAAGAATTGTGTAAAAAATATGTGGATAATTCCTTAGCTTGTACCAGTCCATCCTAATATTTTGATGGATATACTAATGAGTAATTTGAGACACAACGTGCTTGGATTTTTTTTACAACGTGCTTGGAATTGCTTTTATATCATTATCTAATGTGTGGGTTTAAATGTTTAATACTCCGTCCTCCTAGAAGGTTCCCGTAACGGTTTATGATTCTTGACTGACGATAAAGCAACTTAATCCCTGTTCACACTCTGATTATTTTTAATAAATAAAATTTACATATTCTGAAACTACATTAAAACTGCTACAAAGCCTGATAAAAAATGTAAATGTGATAAAATTTTGATATATAAAACAAAAGATTAAAAATGATTTAAATTTATCATATGAATAACAGACGAGACCTTCTAATCGGACGGAGGCAGTATTTAATTATAAGTGGCATACCTAACCACCTACGACTTAGTTTGTCAACTGCTCAGTTCCTAGGGAATATTTGCATCCCCATTTGGAAAGAACCCGTCAA